AGAGAGAGAGAGAGAGAGAGAGGAGAGAGACTGAGAGAGAGAGAGAGAGAGAGAGAGAGAGAGAGAGAGAGACGGTACATGTGTCACTTCAGATCAACTGAATCAAAATCTACAGGACCAGGCATTGACTTTAAGAAAATTCTCTAGTGATTCTGATGTAGTCTGAAGTTAGAACATCACTATGATTTTCCGTTGCAAGGAGGATAACATTTTAACAGCTTATCATTAACTCCAAGATGATATTATGATCAGGCACTAGCTAACATATGCTGAATCATGTTCTCTCCCAGTTCACTATGCTTTGTTCGAAGAGCAGGTAAACACTCTCCTACAGTGGTTTGATTTCCTTTGCTATTCTTTCTAGCAGCTACTGTCTATCTTTGTATTGCTGGCCCCTTCTTATCCTTCTGGTCTTAGAGTAAATATAATTACAAATGACACTTAAAATTCCTTCTCTCAAACAATGTCAGACAACATCACTTTTATTCTAGTGTCCAAAGGACTACTTATAACCTTCACTTTTTTCCTCACCTATTTATTTTTCTCATTCTCTACACAAGAGTATAAGTTTCCTATTGGAAGGCAGCATGTTTCTTTGACTAATCAACTTTTAGCAAAATGTCTACCACATAACAAGTATTCACTAATTAATTATTGAATGGTGAAGGGTTAAGGAAAGGAATTAGAATGGGGATACTGCCTAGGAAAGTATCAGGAAGTTAAAAACAGGGGAAAACAGCTAATTTCATAACCATCATTACTTTAAAAGAATTTTTATGATGTTCTGTGCATTCTAGCAGCATTATATAACTAAAGGTTCATGTGATTGTGAATATATGTATTTTTGGATGTGGGGAATCTAGGGGATACCCTTCAGTAGGTCAAAGGGTGTCTCAGTGGCTAGTGAGCCAGAAACTCTGTAATAAAAAGAATGCTGGATGTCAGTTGATAGGGACAAGAGTATGGCAATTCAAAGTGGGGACATCCTCAGGAAAGTTCAAAGGGCTAAATGAGTCAGGTATGAGTAGATGACAAGGCAGCTTTTATATCTAGAGCAGAGAATGAATAAAACACTATTTGCTTGGCATATGATGATTATGACTAAGGATGAGAAACAAGTAGATGAGGGCTATAGCCATTGACAGTTTGAAGTAAAAGCAACCTTCAGATAGCATGATGAAATAAAATGCAAGGTTGGTACAATGGGAAGATCAGAGAAACTGTATCGCAGAGACTAGATTTCAAGTGTCAGCCCTGCTAATTGCAAGGTTTATGTCCTTGGAAGAAGTACTTACAATCTCTAGGTCTCATTTCCATATCAGTAAAATGATGGTAATACCTAACATAGTTTAACTGCCAAAAATAAGAATAAGTTAGGATATCCAGTGAAAAAGATGGCAGTGGAGGAAGACAAGGAGAAACCTCATCTGACATGCATACCAAGGAAGCAACTAAAGCAAAACCAACTCTGAAAACGACCTGAAGACCACAGAACAGACTGTCTACAACTGGTGAAGAAGAGAAGAACACACAGAAAAGGGTAAAGTGGCAGAGCTGGGATTGAGGGGAACCCAAGTGCTTCTCCCATCCTAGCCCAAGTGGGAGGGAGAGCAACAGACTGGGGATGGCATAAGTGCTCAGGAACTCTACACACCTGGCTTTGGAGATCTGCTCTGGGAACATGAGCCCACACTGCATTGGGCTTTGGTGATTAACGGGGCTGGACACCAGAGACAGCTGGAGTATTCTGGGAGGCTGGGACTCTTGCTGTTTTTGGAAAACAAGCACACTCTGTTGGTCCCACTGAGAGCTAACACAGAGGCAGCCATTTGAAAGGTTTACCAGCAGCAGGAAAGGGGCCAGAAGGGTGAGGGTTGAACAGAGCTCAACCCTCAGGGAGAAAGGGCAGATGGGTGACTGCCTCAGCCCTCCCTCAGCCCAACTGGTTGGGTGTCCACGGGAGCCAGCCCCAAATGCTCCATCCCATTTTTGGTGGTTCAGCCCAAAGGCACATTCCTGTGCACCCACCCACCTGGCAAGCTCAGCCCAGCAGTGCTCAGTCTCTGCTGCCTGGTAGGTGGAAGAAGGCTTTGCCAGCTTTACCAACTCTCTCTCAGCTCAATTAGGGAGATGCCTGCAGGAGCAAGTTTCAAAAGCTCCTTCCACCTAGCTGGTGACCCGGCACCATGCTATGCTCTCCTGCACAGCCACAGCACCTACCCCATTAGTCCAGCAGGCCAGCCATCACTGCTGGGCAGGCCGAGGATGGCTTTGCCCACAACGGTTCCAGCAGGAGCACCCCTGTATGGCTCCTGAGGGCCAGCTGAGGCAAGCTGCCAGCCACAGTGCCACTGCTGGCAGATAGGCAAAGGGGCAGCCCTGCCTACAATGATCTCACAAAGGGTCTCTGCTGACAGAAAGCATCCACTGCTGGCAGAGAGGCAGAAGGGCAGCCCCACCCACAGCACAGCAACCACAACTTCATCTCCACAGCAAAAAAGAACCAGGTACAGGTGACCATAGTCTTGAGCTTTTGGGTAGCACAGGACACTTTCTTCATAAAGCCATTAATCTCTAGACCAGGAGGCACAGCAGATCTATCTAAAACAAAGGAGGAAACCCAGAAACCCAGAAAAAATGAGAAGGCAG